ATGGTGGCTTTTAAGGAACAAAAGTTAAATTGTACTATTAATTCTTTATGGTGTATGTTTTATTTTATATATTTGCTGTTGTGGAGTTATGATGATGTTTTTTGTTTTCTTCTAAAGGCTTTTTTTACCCTTCACATTTAAATATGTGCTCCTAGAGCTAATTCTTTTAAATATTATGCTTGTAATCCTCCTGGCTTTAAAAAAGCACCTCTGTGCTTTTGGGGGGCTATTTTTCGGTGTTCTACAAAGTGAAAGAGACACATTTCCATTGCTCACAGCTGGCTTTGGAGTACAAGAAGTCTTTGATAGGACCAATACAGTGCTTTTAATGCACATTTTGTTTAACAAATACTAGTCTTTGTGGTTTGATATAGCATTGATTTGTAAAATTTTAATGGTTAGAAAACTCTGTAAAAGAAAACTTTATTACTATAAAAGGCCTAATGAACAAGGGAAACTTTTCTGTTATTGAAGGTAAATTAATAAGATATACTCAGATTCTCTTTTCTTTTTATGGTGCTGGAGATTGAATTTAAGGCCTTGCACATGCTAGTTAAGTGTCCCTATCCCTGAACTACATCCTCATCCCTTTTTAAATTGTATTTTTTGAGACAGGACCTTGCTATGTAGTTCAGGCTGGAGCCTTGAACTCGGAATATATTCTGGACTGGCCTAGAACCCCTGGTGAACTTACCTCCTTAGTCTCCTGCGTGCTAGGATTACAGGAGTGTACCACCATGCCTGACTTTAAATTGTATTGTTATGATTTTTTTTGGTACCTGGATCGAACTTGGGTCCTTGAGCTTGCAAGGCAGGTGGCGGAACCACTGAGCTAAATCCCTGGCCCTAAACTATATTTTTGAGAAAAAGTGTTGTTGTTACCCAGGCTGACCTTGAGCTTTTGAGCCTTCTATTTCAGCCTTCCTAGTAGCTAGAGGACAGGCTTGGGAAACCTTGCCCACTGGCATCCAGACTTTTAAACCTCCTTGTATGCTATTGGGAAGAAGAGGATGCTGGGTAGTTCTTTATAAGCTGTAGTCTGAGACACACATCAGTGTTTGGGGGATAGCGCTGTTTGCTGCCATGCTCTTTATTTTGGGATACATTCTGTGAAGCAGTGTATGCTGCCATTTTATGCAGTAGAGACTTCCTTCTTGGGAAGTATTTGGGAACTTCCAGGACGTTTCCATGTCTTGTTTTTAGAAACTAAAGATTTGGAGATAGCTCTTACACATGTGGCAGTCCACTTGGGAGGAAAGGAGTTAATATTTGTAGAGTATCTTGTGCTCCATATAAATATGTTCCATATGCTTTACATATATTAATTTACTCATTCCTTCCAATAGGCTTGATGAGGTAGGTATTGTTATCTCTGCACTGTAGAGGAGGAAGCACATTTATGTAAGGGAGACTCTTTTTTAAGTGTTTCTGTATATGATACTTCTGACACCTAATGTGTGTGTGGTTCCCCTTCATTAACCAATTCTCCAACTCTCTGGGCATCAGTGGGTGTCTACAATTTCATTCATTTCTGACACTAATGACCTAGAGTTTATGCATCCCTTACAGGTTAAGGGCTCAGTCCCAGAAAACTTCTCTCCACTTCAGGTGCTAATCAGAAGTCTCAGGTGTTGCCCTTCCTACTTTTGACCAACCAGCTGTATATAACAGGGGTTTTCACAACTCTTTCCTCAGGTTCAATAATTTGCTAGAAAGGTTCACAGAAACCAGGAAAATGCTTTACGTACTATTATCCATTTATTATAAATGATACAACTCAGTGTCTAGCTCCAGACCCTTTTTGTCGGGTCTGCAGCACCTCAATGTGCTCAACAGCTCAGAAGCTCTTCCATTCTTCTTGCTTGGATGAGGTGTGTATGTGTGTTTGTATTTCATTACTGTGAGGCTGATTGATGAAGTCATTTATTTCTCGTTGCTGATTAACTCAGTCTCAAATCTCTTCCTTGTCTGAAGTGTTGGGGGGGGTAGAAGGTTTCATTTTTTGAGTCATCCTTGGTCTTTTTGGTCTTTAGTCTCTATCCTGAAGGTGTCTGATAGCCCTGGTCACTAGTCATCTCATTAGCATACAAAAGATACTCTTGGTACTTAGATGCTTTGGGAAACCAAAGGCCAAATACACATTTATTACAGAGACCATGAGCAAGTTACGTAACTCTCAACAAAACATGGAACTAGTATTTGAGTTTAAATTTGCACAGAGCTTTTTTGTATGGTAGGAACTAAGTAAAAACCTATGTATCAGTTGAATATAGAATACTGTTATGTAGCAAAATGGCTGAATATGGGAAAGATACAATCTTTATAAATCTCATAGGGCCTAAGTTGAGAAAATATCATTGCATGAATGCATTCATTCATTCATTTTTGAGACAGGATCTCACTGTAATCTAGGCTGGGCATGAGTTTACTGTGTACCCTACTGGCCTCAAACTCTCAGCAATCCTGCTGTCTCAGTCGCCTGAGTGTTGGGATTACAGGGGTTCACCACCATGCTTACCACTTATTTTTATGACTTGATTGAGAGAGTGTGAACATCATATGAGCTTTTAGGTGAGTTGTTTTGCTTAAGTGTTTTTGCACATTGAGTAAATATTTATGGGTTGATATGTTGATGAATTGTGAGAAAATTTTCACCTTGAACTAAAATTTTTGGCTTGGCACATCTCTTTCTCTGTGGCAGCAAATGTGTGATAATATTCTGAGTTTTTTTTTTTTGATGCTGGAAATTAAAATTCTTTAGCTTATTTTATAATAAATTGGCTAGTTTGGTTTTAGGAGAATTTTGTTATAATTAACTTAATTGCTTTCTCTAACATTTTCATGGACTTATTTTGAAGAACCTAACAAAACCCTTTTATTATGCTAAATATTTCTGGAACAAGTGTATTTCACTTGATGCTGTAAAAATGAAATTGCAGATAACCATATTTGAAAAAAATAAATTGAAGAGTGAGATAGCCTCTTAAGTTTTTTCCTCCCATTGTCAAGGTTAATTATGTATAGATTGGGAAAGATAGAAATGAATTGGTAAAAGAACCTGAAACTGAACTTTAGGTATCTGTACAGAAACATTTAGTTTTTGTAAATGAATGAACGTCTCCCAGCCCAGAAAAATTACAGAGAATGTTGGAATAAGGTCATTCATTCACTTTCAGTAACCTTTAAGGGATCATAAAATTACTGCAGTAGATGTATTTTTGAAACCAGAAAAAAGGTGAGCGTGATATAGTCCTTGTCAGAATTTAGCATGAAGGCTAGGAATGAAGCTCAGAGTGGTACAACACTTGCCTAGCATGCTTGAGGCCTTGGGTTTGATCCTCACTAGTGCAAAAAAGCAAAACAACAAAAACAAAACCAGGGTGTGGTGGTGCTTGTAATCCCAGGACTCTGGGAGGGTGAGGCAGGAGGATCAGAAGTTGAAGGCGAGCCTGAGCAATTTAGCCACTTACTCTAACAAGGCTGTGTGTGTGTGGCTGTAGCACAGTGTGAAGGCTCTGGTTCAATTTCTAGTACTGAAAAAAAAAAATTAGAATGGAACCCCTTGCTTTCTTCCTGCCCAGTGTGGGCCCTGAAGAATGGCTGCTCTGAAGGAGAATGATGAGAAGACCTATGTTATAGTTTGGATATAATGTTCTCCGAAGGCTCGTTGTGTGGAGGGCTTAGCTGGTGTGCTTTTGGAGAGTGATTAGATTGAGAGGACCCTAACTTTATCCATGGACTAATCCATTTATAAGATCATAATTTGATGGCATTAAAATGATGATGGAGGGCTGGGGATTTAGCTCAGTGGCGCTGTGCCAGCCTCACAAGCACAAGGTCCTGAGTTCGATACTTGGTACCAAAAAAAAGGATGATGGAAACAGGAAGGGGCTTAGTTGAAGGGAATGGGTCATGGAGGCTTGACCATGGGGATTATATCCCATCCCCAGCCCCCTTTTCTCTGATGTTTTCCTCCCGTTTGCTTCCTTGCTGCCATGAAGTGAACAGATTTACTTTACCATCCTTTGTGCCCTGATGTTTCTGCCTCGCCATAGGCCTGAAAACCTTGGGCCAGCTGTTCTGGACTGACACCTCTGAAATCTTGACCTACAATAAACCTTTTTTCCTTTAAGTTGTTTATGTTAGGTATTTCTTTGCTACAACAGAAAGCTAATACGGGCAATTGTGCTGTCAGGTGGTGACTGAGAATATGCCATGAATATTCTCATGTGCATTCATAGAGTGGGCTTCATGTGTGCTCCTTGGGCGCTTGAGAACCTGGAAATTTGACATGAAGGACAGGGGTACTCCAGATCGTGCACTGACGCCAGGCTCAACAGAGCAGTCTGGGTCAGAGGAATTAGGAATATCCTATGTATGTGTGTAGTTGTCCAGAAAACACAGCAAGGTAGAAGATTCACCAAACAAGCAGTTTACTTTGGTTACCATGTACCTGATTATACTTTCCAAAATATGTCAGTGGGGATGAGAACTGATAGTAAAATAAAGTTATAAAATTGCAAAAAAAATTATTAAGGGTATTGTATGGGGAGTTTAGAAAAAAACCCTTACAATGTTAAGAGCTAACATGGCCCACTAAGATTATGTGAGGTCAGAGAAACCACATTTTCTTAATTAAGCTGAGTACTGTGGTAGAACCGGGGAATACTTGCAGCATCCGTTTTTGAATTGAGTATTTTGATGGGAATAATTAAGATATACTTGGGGATAAATTTGAGCTCTCTTAAGTGATGCAAAAGTAGAGATACAGGAAAGAGACGTGCTAGAAACATTTCTTCAAAACAAAACAAAACAAAACAGGACATTTAGTCTCAAGGCGCAGGCAAGGCTGCTTTGAGCCAGGGTTAGAGGTCTGCTGGCCTGGAGCGCACCCTCCTGCGGATTGAGGGGAGCCAACTCCGGCGGGCGAGCGGGGCGGGCTTTCCGCGCCTGCATGGCGCAGGCGCACTCGCTCACAGGGCGGGCCTAAGGCAGCGGGTTGTGATTCCGGTTCCGCTGCCCACACGTGAAGTCAAGGTCGGTGAGTTGGTGCGGTGTCAGTTTAGGCAAGTGTGGTCGTGCTGGGATGGATTCCTCCTCTTCGTCTTCCGCGGCTGGTCTGGGCGTCGTAGACCCACAGTTGCAGCATTTCATCGAGGTGGAGACTCAGAAGCAGCGTTTCCAGCAGCTGGTACACCAGATGACTGAACTTTGTTGGGAGAAGTGCATGGACAAGCCAGGGCCAAAGTTGGACAGTCGGGCCGAGGCCTGTTTTGTGAACTGTGTAGAGCGCTTCATCGATACAAGCCAGTTCATCTTGAATCGACTGGAGCAGACCCAGAAGTCCAAGCCAGTCTTCTCAGAAAACCTTTCTGACTGATCTTAGCATTACCTCTTTAGAAAAGGAAAGTGGTTAAAAGAACTGTTGATGGGGTGAAGAAATGTCTGTTGAGAGGACTGGCTATCCCTTTTTGTCACTCTTGGGACATCTTATAATTTGAGAATAAAGGAAGACCAGTTTTTGTGTGTGGGGTTTTAGGGTCATATATGTATTTACTTTTTAAAGAAACTTATAATCTTGTAAAAATAATTGACAGATGAGTGAGACATTATTAGATGTATATTATTGTATGTGGGACTATGCTTTTCTTAAGGCTCTCTTAACTGCTTCCTGTAATTTTTCTTTCTGGTACAGGGAATTGAATCTCCGCCCCTTCACCCTTCCTGTAATTTTGATAGTGAAACTTCATTCTACAATTTTGTAGTGGGATCACGTAGTAGGTAAAAGCTAATTGTGTGAATTCGTGTCAGACTTTTGGGGAGACCTTTGTGTCTTTTTTTTTTTTTTTTTTTTGGTACTGGGAATTGAACTCGGGACCTTGTGCTTGCAAGGCAGGCACTGGCACCACTGAGCTAAATCTCCAGCCCATACCTTTGTGTCTTATCAGAAAGCACATCAGTGAGAGAACAGTTTGGCACTTAACTGTGAGCATCTTATCTAGTGATTGTGTCTGCTGAAAAAAATCTATAGAGTATTTATACAGTGTATTTTAATTTTCTAGGTTATTTCCCTTCCCTGTACCACAATTCTCTTTAATTACCTATATTAAAGTTTGGTCTCATGGTATACCTGACAACCCAAGAATCAAGAGACCTTTGTTATAAAGGAATGTAGCCAGTGAGCATATATGGCCACAGAAATAAGTTAACTTACTGTATATGTCAGGGTACAAAAAAATTAAAAGATAAAGACATTTAAAGATTTAGGCAAAAGACTTAACAGCAGTTTTAGGTAAAGGTGTATGGTCTGAAGTTAATCAGATTTTGTTGGCTGCATTCTTTTAATCGCTGAAATAAAAAATTCTTCAAGATTTTTAAAAAGACAAACTTGGCTGCAAGTTTATGTGCAGTGCAGTTTAGTCGATGGATTGGATAGTCCTATTTTAAATAATGTTAGACTACATATAGAGGATTTCAATTCTATAAACAAGGGTAGTGAGGGAACTATCATGCTGCGTGAACTACATTTAAAGAACCAGGTTTGCTTTTTGACCAGTACATGGCTTTCACAGTAGCTCCTACAGAAGAGTTCCAGAAGGACTTGGGGGTGGGGAAATGGCAATATTTTTTAAATACCATGGATTTTGATAGAGCACATTCAATAAATGTAGATTGCCTAATCAGTCAGAGAAGAGCATCTGCAAAAGAATGAAGATATGAAAAAGCATGCTGTATTTGGGGAAATGTAGAGAGGGAGAGAGGAGTAGTAAGAGAAGAAACTAGTACTTGGCAGGTACTTTATAGGCAGGTGGATATTGGAACCAGGAAGAAAAAAGTGCATTTTTGTTCAGTACTGGGGATCAAACCCAGGGGTGCACAATAACATCATCAGCACTTTTTATTTTATTTTTTTGCCGTACCAGGAATTGAACTCAGGACCTTGTGCTTGTGAGTCAGGTGACAGTACCACTGTGCTAAATCCCTTTTAAAAAAAAGAATTGCTAAGTTGCCCTGGTGGGATTTGAACCTGTAATCTACTTTTCTGGGTCTCCTTATGCTATAGCAGTACAGGAATGTGCCAACAAGTCGAGCCATTTGTATTAAACAAGGCCAGGACTCATGTTTTTTCATTTCCCTTTTAATTGTTCTCTCCTTCCCTTTCTCTCTCTGTGTGTGTGTGTGTGTGTGTGTGTGTGTTTGTGTGTGTTTTTGGAGGCAGGGTCTTGCTGTGTAATTCAGGCTGGCCCTAAACTTACTATGTCGTCCAGGCTCATCTCAAATTTGGCAGCAATCCTCATGCCTTAACCTCCTGAGTGCTGGGATTATAGGCGTGCACCATCAGGCTGGGCTCCTTCCCTTCCTTTAAGTATTTTAGGTTTATGCAGGGATTCTGAAATAACCACGCAGGAACCATACAGGACTGTCTTATAGTCTTTGTGTGTGTGTGTGCATGTGCATGCATGCATGCAACCAAGGATGGAACCCAGGGCTTTATGTATGGTAGGCAAGTGCTCTACCACTGGGCTACATCCCCTGCCTCTTCCCTGAACCCCCTTTTAAAAATTCTTTTGAGACAGATTCTTGGTTAGTTCTTCATGCTGGGCTCAAATGTACACTCTTCCTATTAGCATCTGAGTGGTAGGATAACAGGTATGTGTTGCTACATCTGCCTGTCTCACTCTCACTCTTTTTTTTTTTTTGCTATACTGGGGATTAAATTTGAGGCCTTTGTACCAAGGAAGATTTGCAGCTCTTACATTTTTAAATTTTAATTTAATTTTACTTTTTGGTACTGGGGATCAAACTCCGGCCCTTGCCGCTTACGAGGGAGGCACTTCAACCACTGAGCTAAATCCCCACCCCTGCATTTTTTTTTTTTTAATTTTGAAACAGGGTCTTGTTTAGTTGCCCAGGCTGGACTTGAATTTGGTGACCTCCCAGAGTGCTAAGTTTTATAGGCATGAGGCACCATACTGGGCTTCCTCTATCTTTTGCTTTTTTTTTTTTGAGACAGACTTTGCTGTGTAATTTAGGCTGGTCTTAAACTCACCAGGTAGCCCAGGTTGGCTTTAAATTTAGTGCATTCCTTCTGCCTCAAGTCTCCTGAGTACCTGGATTACAGGTATGTGCCACTGCACCTGGCACATTTTAGATTCTTTTACCAGAAAAGCTATGACCTACAAGTAGTAATTTGAAGGGCATTAACATTCCCAGTTATTAGTGCCAGATATTCTGGCTATAATTAGCTTATTTCTTTTAGGTCATTCTACAGTCAAGAATTTTTTTCTATTTTACCATACTGTTTGCTGAAGAGAGGATTTTTTGCTTGCTTGAGTGGTAGATGCTAGGGTGATCATTTGCAGCTGTAGTGATCTAGTAGTTACTAGCTGTGTCAAGTAGAGGATGTTTTTATGTTTATCAAAACTGTATGAGCAGGGTGTGGTGGTGCATGCCTGTAATCCCAGCACTCCTGAGGCTGAGGCAGGAGAATTGCTGTGAGTTTGAGACCAGCCTGGGTTAAATAGTGAGTTCCAGGTCAGTCTCAACTATATAGTGAGACCTGTCTCAAAAAACCAAAAACCAAAACAAAATAAAACAAACAAAAAAACTATGGCAATTTGTTGGTAGTCTTGGCACCCCTTTTCTTGGTACAGATATTTTTACTAATTTAAATTGCCTCCGTAGATTTAAATTTTCTTTACATAAGGGCAGCTTATTGTCAAATTTCTCCAAAAAACCAACTGGAAATATTTCTAACATATTTTGGAGTAGAGTGGCATATCTAGTCTCCTAAAGTTGAATTATGAGGTGTGGTTATATTACCAGTTTTGACCGTTTGGTTCTTTTTCCCTCTCATAATTGTGGAATCAGTAATAAACCAAACACCGATTGAACAGTAAAGGCGACTTATTCTTGGCTAATAGGAGAGATGGTGTATAACAATTGCAAATCAACTTCTCTGCCTGTTGGGACTCAAGGTATAGGGTAAAAGAAATGAGAGGGAATAGTAGGTTAATAAAAGGGAAGTATAGTCATGTCTTTTATGGGGATTTGGGTGCCACTTTCTGCTTTCTTGGTTCTTTTGATCATTGTTATGAAAACTGTCACCTGAGGTAGTGCCAGGAATGTTAACATGCAGATGGAATTACAGTGAAGTCAGAGGTTATGTGGTGGGCGTCTGGCAGTCTTAGGTCCAACCAGCTTCAGCTGGTCCACCTGAGGAACTCAAGGCATCATGTCTTCAAAGTTACATAAGTTTTATAGCAGTGTGGGAATTCAGATAGATCAAGCAGGTAGTGAAGATTGGGGCAAGATTAACAGCTATGAGACTCAACCACACTTTTATTTATTTAAAAATTTTTTTGGTTTTGGCACTGGGGATTGAAGCCAGGTGTTTCAAACTAAACTATATTGCCAACCCTTTCTAATTTATTTTTTATTTAAAATTTAAAAAGTTTGTATTTATTTATTTATTGGTACCAACTAGGGATTAAACCCAGGGCCTTCACACTGAACTACATTCTTAGCTGTTTTTAATTTAAATTTTAAATTGTTTTGGTGCTGAGACTCTAACTCAGGACCTTGCACTTGCCAGGTAGGTGTGGCACCACTGAGCTATATCCCTGGGCCATCATTTTTTATTTTGAGATAAAAGCTTGCCAAGTTTTTGTTTCTAGAGTCCTTGACTTACCATGATTTAAAGGTTATTTTCTGTCATGAACATGTATAGTAATTATACTTTACTCCTTGTATAACAGAATACTTCACTATATAATCATACAATATTTTGTTTATTCATCAGCTGATGCTGGTTTTTAAATAATCTCTCAGTCTTGTCTTTAGTCCCATCTTTATCTCCACTTTCCTAAATATCTGGTATGAAAAGTTCCTAAGCCTTTTAGAGATTATGTTGTATTTTAAACCTTGAGCTTACAATGCATTTTTTTAATAGAAAAAGAATATAGCCTCCTGCCTCAAAAGCACAAGGTCCTGAGTTCGATGCCCGGTACCAAAAAAAAAAAAGAAAAGTTTGTGTGGGCTGGGGATTTAGCTCAGTGGTTCCGGCGCCTGCTTTGCAAGTGCAAGGACTTGAGTTTGATCCCCAGTACCAAAAAAACCAAAAACAACAACAGAAAAGAGTCTGTGTACATGGATAGCCTGAGGTCTCTTGCCTTGTTCACAAGAGTGTGTACATATCTTATTAATTTTTTGATTAGAGAAGAACATGGGATTGGGGTTTCTTGAGACTTCCTAATAGACCACGATTTTGACAGGATGTTGCATCTGCCATGGAACATAGCAAAATGTCTAAATCTGAGATGTTACCTCAGTAGATACATTCCCTGCCTCGCATTTGTCCCAGCAGTGGTTTGGAACAGTCTTGTCAGGGTAGGTTCTCAAATGTCAGTCTCTTAAAACTTGTGAAATAGTTGATACAAGAATTGCATTGGGTGTGGTGCCTCTGTAGGAGGCAAAGCCTCTGTAAAAGCAGTGCTGGAGTCAGACATGGTCACACGTTTCTGTAATTCCAGTGCTTTGGGAAGCTGAGGCAGGAGGATCGCCAGTTTGAGTTCCGCCTGGGTAATTTACTGAGACCCTGTCTCAAAATAAAAAGGAAAGGGCTAGGTATGTAGCTTAGTGTAAATGCCCTGGCTTTAATCTTCAGTACTTAAAAACAACAACAACAACAACAACAACATGACTGTACATATTTACAAATGTAAACTTCTCTGACAGAGAAAACATATTGAAAAAGAAAATGGACAATCTGCCTCCTGGGGAATTATGAGTAACAGATGGTTTCTCTTAATTTTCCCTTGAAAAGATTAGTGAGCAGTTTACGTCTGTTAGTGTCATAGAAGAGGCTTCTGTGGCCTGTTCAGTGAGGGGATTGCTCATACCTGTATTCTGGCTACTTGTGAATATGACTTCTGAGCGCTGTAGTCAGCTGGCTGCAGGCTATCTCTTCAAGGCATAGTTAGTTACCTTCTTCACTTTATGTTGTAGGAGCTGCAAATTTACCTCAGTGTCACATAAAGAAGAGATAAGAGTGATAGCTTCAAAAAACTTCATGATCCTAATTTTTTTAAATGTGTGTTTTTGAAGTGTTCCTGCTTTTTCTTTTTTTCAGCTTTAATTGAGTGTATTGGTACATTTTAGGGATACGGTACAGTTACATTCATTGTTGGGATCTTGTACCTCCACATGACAAGTCTTGATTCTCATTTTTTCCCCTTACCCCTGCCCTCCCTTCACCCCCTCCTCCCCTCCCCATCTACAAATACTTTATTTCCATCTTTTCATTATCGAAGTGTTTCTGCTTTTAAAAAAGTGCTGATAGTAGTGAAGTAGTCATCTCAAAGTAATTGCAAGGGTACTTTCCAAGTAGCTAGAATCTTGCATTCTTTTCTCTTTGTACTCCTGTGCCCCAGTTAGTTAAAAATGGCAGGAAATGCTATCTGATTTGTAGAGATAGTATCTGGGTGTAGGGAGTATTGAAATGCTGGGCTGCAAAGGAGCTGGAGACAAAACAAGCTGGGTTTTTAACATGCACCAAAAATAGAAGTATGAATTGCCAGCAGTACTGTCTTGGTGGGTAGCTTGGTTTAGTAATGTTTATAACAGGAAAGCTTCAGTAACATCTTTTAGTGCAGGAAGTAAACAGTAATACATGAATAGGTGAGTAGTCACAAACAGGATCAAGCTAGTGGTAGTGTCTTTTTTAAAAAGTTAAATTAAATTAAAATTTGTCCAAAGTTGATTTGATAGGAAGCAGAACTATTGTCAATTAGATACAAATTATTTTGTTGAAAAAATTAATTTTTAAAATCATAATTTTGCAAATATTTGTTATTTTCTTTCCCCTTTTCCCTTTAGGTGCCAGTTTTTAAAATGACTTTATTTTTATTTTTTATTTTTGGAGTCAGGGTCTTGCTTATGCAGTTCAGGCTGTCCTTGAACTTACTATGTAGCCCAGGCTGGCCTTGAACTCACAGGGATCCTCCTTTCTCAGTCTCCCAAGTGCTGGGATTACAGGTGTGTACCACCATCCCTGGCCTTATAAAAATGACTTTAGCCAATTTTTTTAATACTTCAAATTTTATGTAAAGCCTCTTATGTGTGTCTCAACTCTGATTACTGGTAGATTTAGGAATTGAAAAACCTATTTGGTATAACTAATCTAAAGTTGTGGATGTAACAGATGTATCCTATGAACTATTTCCTAGAAAATGCTGGTTACTTCATTTTGCTTGAATCTAAGTGTCTTAGTGTCCATTTTCTGTTGCTATAACAGAATACCTAAAATTGGAAAATAATTTTACTTTGGCTCATGGTTCTGGAGGCTAGGAAGTCCAGAATTGGGTCGTCACATCTGGTGAGGTCCTTATGTTGCATCAATTAATGATGGAAAGCAGAAGGGCCAGGGGCACGTGCAGAAGAGAGAAAAGGGGGCTGAACTCCTGTGAGGGCTAACATTTTTATTCTTCTTCTTGTTCTTGACTCCAGTTTAAATACCTCTTGTTTAGGTTTATCCAGATCAAGTTGGTAAAACAGTCTGATATCAATACAAATATCAGTTTGTTTCTGCCATGGTCAAAGAGAACAAATAAAGAAAAAAATCATTAGAAGTCATTATAAGATATGCGTGCTTTAAATGAAATCTGTTATGACTTGTCTGAACTGTACTTCCTCAGAGGCAGATTTACAGAGATAGACTAACACCTATTTAGCTGACTTTTAGCTGCTGTTTGAAATGAGCTTTAGTTTTTATATCTAGACCTGCTGATGATAGTGTACATTGTGTTGGGCAAAGAACTGCTGGTTATTTCTAGGATAGTAGGACAGGTGTTATGTCATATTCCTTATATTATTTGGATTTCCAAAGGTCTAAATAGTTGAGGAATTAAGATATCTGTGTCACACTGGTTTCAAGAAGTGGATCTATGCAGGTGTTTTTTGAAGCATTATCTTTTTTTACTGCTACTTCTTAAAACCCAGCTCTCAGTAAATGATAACAGATTGGATACTTTCAAAAGATAAATCTTAGGTTTCTTTTCTTTTTTTTGTTTTGTTTTTTTGAGACAGGGTCTCACTATGTAGTTGAGACTGACCTGGAACTCACAGTGTAGCCCAGGCTGATTTCAAACTTGCAGCGATCCTCCTGCCTCAGCCTCCCGAGTGCTGGGATTACAGGTGTGCATCACCATGCCTGGCTTAATTTTAGGTTTCTGAATTCTCTTCTTTTACCTTTCTGACATTCTGTATAGGGTGGTTGAAATGAATGTGATTTGTTCTTTGAATCTTCGTACTTTTTACACACACACACACGCACACACTCCTATCTTTTTTCTCCTTGCTGTGACAGTACTGTGTTCCTGCTGTAGTCTCCTCCTCCTCCTCCTCCTCCCCCCTCACCCCCTCCTCAATGTATGAATGTCCTTGAACTCACTTATGTGGCCCAAGCTGGCCTTGCACTTGCAGCCTCTTCTGTCCTATCCTCCCAAGTGCTGGGATTACAGGTATGCACTGTCATACTGGCACTTTTTAAAATCTTATTTTATGTTTTTCTCGTGGCTTGTTTAAAGAAGGGGTAGAAAATAGAGAGGTGGTAGAAAGGACAGAGGCTCTAAGGGCCACTTTTCCATTTGATTCATAGCCTCTCATTCCCCTTTAGCTACACTCCAGATCAGCTCTCCTACTAACCTCTGATTACAGTTTTATCTCACTGGCTGTTCACATGCTCCCCTTACCTAGTCCCTTGTTGCATTATCTGATTGCTCATCATATCTTGGGGGTACCTCATAGTCATCTTAGGAAAATATCCTAACAAGCTTTCATATAGGACAGTGGTAGCTGTCTGGATTTCTGTATATGTTCAGTTATTTTGTGTTTTTTCCTGAGGGGATTTTTTTCTAGTCCAATTAAGAAGAAATAAAGTGACAACTAAAAGTGAAGAAGCTTAGGAGGAAGAAATAGTTAACTTCTCTCAGAACTGAAGGCGGTTTAAAAATACTTTCTGAGAATTTCAGACTGTAGACATCATTATGTGAGCTGCTTGCTTGGTTGTGTGGTTAAGCATGGGCTTGCCTTGGGTGGGCTCTTAGCAGGTGCTACTGAAAGCACTGGCTTTCGTTGGCTCTACGTAAGCCTTAGGACTTTGTTGCTGTACTGCTGCCAGCTGCCTACTGATTTTCCAGTCTTCCTAAGTGAAGTTTACCGGGTGTATTTTTTTTTTAACCAGTTGTATTTTTGAGAGATGAAATATGCTAAGAAAAAAGTTTCAAAAGAATCAGTTTGGAAGATGGATCTGGAAGTGAGAGGAATTAAAAATGTGATATTTGTTTTACTAACAAAGTTTGGGTCTTGTCAGAAGTTGAAAATGATTAATAATTCTTCTAAAGTGGGATAAAACCTCAGAGTAAATGGTGAGATTTTAGTTATAAAAGGAGTAATTTTGCTTGATGTGGTGGTGCATGCCTGTAATCCCAGAACTTGGGAGGCTGAGGATCGCTGCGAGTTTGAAACCAGCCTGGGCTTGGGCTACATTGTGAGTTCCAGGTTATTCTCAACTACAAAGTGAGACCCTGTCTCAAACAAACAAACAAACAAACAACACACAAAAGGAATATGTTTGACTGGAATTATTGTTAATTTTTGGAACAAGTACCTTAGAAAATATATATATTTATTTTTTTGGTACTGGGGATCAAACTCTGGTGCTTGCACTTGCGAGGCAGGCGGCGGAACCGCTGAGCTAAATCCCCGGCCCTGCTTAGAATTATTACAAACTTTTCTTTTTTTAAAAAATTTGTGAGGTGCTTCTGGGATGAGATGATTTAGGGTGAGAAACTCTCTGACTTTAGGTACATCTTATCCTGTGATGGTGAAGTGTTGTTAAGTATCCTTAATAATCATCTTAGAGAAACTATAGTTGGACCAGAATTTCTCCTGTGAGCTAGAGCATATAAACAGGATACTTTTCTCTGAATGGTTAGACCACAAGGCTGAAGCTCTGCAAGATAATAACCTCCCTGTGTAATGGTTAGTTATGTATGTTCTTTTTCCTCTGCACTTGACAATAAGATCCTTGAGGGTAGGTACTTGAGGGTAGGCGTGTGCCACCATTCCTAGTGAGGGTAGGTACTTTATCTGGCTCATCTCTTTCACCCCAGAGTACCTGAGTCCCTTATATAACATAATTCCTCAGTAAATATGCATGGAATTCATTTCACTTGCTCTTGATTATGTTTTTCATATATTTTTCCATGACACTTACCAAACATGTTTTTGAGTTGTTTTGGTGCATTTGTCTACTACTACCTGGTCCTTAGAAAAAGTCTGCTTTTGAATAAAACTACTTTATAATAATTTGGTATGAGTTGTGCTCTTTATTGTACCTTATTGTAACATTTTTCAAACTGTGAATTGTGACCACTAGTGGGTCGCAGTCATCAGCTTTTATTTTAATAATATAGTGTAGAATACATGAGAGTATCATAATTAAACGGTAAATACTGTTTTGTGAAATTTTTGTTGTAGCCATATATATGATGTATGTGGTCATTGCTTTATGATGTAAAATGTTTTATATTGCAGCCATGGTTGAAAAGTTTAAATAACACCGCTTTATTATAATATTCTATTATTTCATTTGTCATATAGCATTATGCCAGTACATTCAGGCTTCTAAAGCCAGAGATGGTGCCAGCCCTTTCATTTCGAGTACGACTGAAGGTAAAAACAAAAGTGAGAACACCCAAAGCTCTCTGGTAGCTCTTATTGTGTCTCTCCAGTGGCATTTTGTACCTTTAACCTTCTAACCTTCTTGTACCAGTAGATTTTTTTTCAGATTTGTATCCTTCTAGGTGGTGGGTTCTTTGGTTCTTCTCCTCCTTGCTTTAATGTCTTCACTTCAGTATACTCTAGTATTTTTAGGTGGTGGAAGGGAGAAAGAAAGGAGTATTCTAAAAATTTCAAATTATTCTGAACTGACAAAATAACTAATTAGATTTACTTTGAAATTTGCTTCATCAGTATTCTCCTATCTTTTAGTCTCTGTTTTTTTTTTTTTAGTGATCATAGAAATACATAGTTTTCTCTGAATTTAAAATACTGTGCTTCTATGATGTGTTCAGTTGCCTTTAAGTATGACTTTCAGGGAGAAAAAAGGATGGATAAAATATTTTATTATTTCTTGGGTTTTCTCTCCTCTCTTCCAAGTAAATTAACAATTGGGATTATAGTAATAATTTCATTTTGAAGAAAAGCAAAGACAACTAGTAATGTCCACTATTAACCATGCTGTACTTTTCCAGCTTGTTTAATGACCTAATAACTTTAATACTTTCCTGTTCTTAGGTCATTGGCATACTAACACTCCTTGCCTTCATTTCTGTACCTTGCTGGACTACCAAGCTCAGATGTTCATAACCCTGTGATTTAAATGCACTTTGTAGAGTTGATTTGCTTCATTGTTTTACAGGAGAAAATTTTGAGCAGACACCATTGAGACGAACATTCAAGTCTAAGGTCCTTGCCCGATATCCTGAGAATGTAGAATGGAATCCATTTGACCAAGATGCAGTGGGAATGGTTAGTATTTGTTAACTGCAAGTGTGAGATAATTTAGAGTAATTTATAGTAGGATTATGAATCTAGGTTATGATAGCAGTGCCCTCGTCAACTAGCAGTGTTTTTTAAAGAAGGGATTGTAATGCATATTGTTCATGATTGTGCATTTTGGTCAATATATCAAATATTGATAATATATCAAATACACTAAAAGTCAGTGTTTCTGTCATGTTAGACAAATATGTAGTATTAAGTCAGTGTATTTATTTCAGTGCTGAAGTATTGTTTATTGTATTGATATTACATGAAAAATGAAGTTTAAAGTAGTTTTCTCTCATTCTGCATTATATATATCTGAGTAATGTGGTGAAATGGGTCTGTATTTTCATCATAATTTTAGGTATGACACCATTTTAAATCTCATGTAGAAGAATGATGCTCTGAATAAGCTAACCTATATTGAATATTTACTTTATGTAAGGTACTAAGAAGCACTTTACATGGATTAATTTATCTAGTTCTTACAATATTCTTTATGTAGGTAATATTACATAAATACACAAACATATTTTATAGATAAGGAAAATAAGATCTAGAGAGATTAAGTAATGGGTTGAGGTCATATGGCTAATAATCAGCCGAGTCAGGTGTGCACACCTGTAATCCCAGTAATTGGGAGGCTGAGGCAGGAGACAGCAAGTTCAAGGCCAGCCTGGACAACATAGTAAGACCTTGTTTAAAAAAAAAAAAAACCTCGGGGATTTAGCTCAGTGGTTCTGCTGCCTGCCTCGTAAGTGCAAGGACCCGAGTCAATCCCTGGTACCAAGAAAAAAAAAAAAAAAATCAAGCTGGAGTTTGACCATGGTAGTATTTGCAGTTCCAAAACCCTGTTTTTAACCATATCTTTGTACTGTATTTACTACATTTTCAATATCATCCCATAGGTTTTCAATTTGTTTGGTATATACAGTAACCCTGTAAAGTGGGTAGAGCAGATTTATTATCACTTTACAGATATGAAGAAACAGAGTCTTTGAGAACTTCAAGGTTTTATTTATTTATTTAGAGTTTAGAGGCAGGGTCTTGCTGTGTAGTTTAGGCTGGCCTTGAACTTACTATGTAGCTAAGGCTGCCCTCAAACTCATGGCGATTCTCCTGCCTTAGCTCCCCAAGTTCTGGGCTTATGGACCTGTGCCACTAGGCCCAGCTGAACTTCCAAGTATTTTGACCATTGCTTATTTCATTTTTATATGTTACATGCTGGAAATGCATAGGCTTTGGTAAATTGAGCTCAGAGCTAGTGTATGTACTACAATGCAGTCCCTTGTATTTGTTAATTTAGGCTGTTGGTATTTCATTTGTATAGCTAGTTTCATGTAAAACTGGAAAATGGGAATTGATTGATTCAGGTCAGTTTGATCAATTGTCTGGTTTCTTTGTATAATTCATCCGAGTTAAAGTAAAAAAATACATCTTTATCCTGATTATGCCATTGTCTTTGTATGAAATAAGTAGTACCCTTTTTTTTTGGGTACTGGGGATTGAACTTGGGTTCTTGGGCTTGCGAGGCGGGAGGGGAACCACTGAGCTAAATCCTCAGCCATTTTTTTGGTTTTTTTGAGACAGGGTCTCACTGTGTAGTTGAGACTGACCTGGAACTCACTGTGTAGCCCAGGCTGATCTCAAACTCACAGCAGTCCTCCTGCCTCAGCCTCCCTAGTGCTGGGATGATAGGCGTGTGCCACCATGCCCGGCTAAGTACCTTTTTTGATGGGAAAGCAAAAGGTTTTAATTGATGATTTTGTGAGTGATCGTCTTTTTTTTTTTTTTTTTCCTGGTACCTGAGATCAAACTCAGGACCTTGTGCTTGCCAGGCAGGCATGGAGCCACTGAGCTAAATCCCCAGCCCAGTAGACCCTTAAACTATATGCAGCTGGGTGTGGTGACACAGGCCTGTAATCTCAGTACTTGGGAGGTAGAGGTAGAAGGATCACCACAATTGGCTAGCCTGGTCTACTGTGAGTTCAAGGCCAGTTTGAGCTATACAGCAAGACCCTGTCTCAACAAAAAAACAACAAAAAAGCCGAAAAAAAAAAAAGGTATATATAAATTTATTTTATTTTTTGTATGGAGTTGCATCTATCTGATTTTCAGATGTATTTCTAGCATCATCTAACAATGTGTCTTACTCTCATGTTGTCATCCCTAACCATAGTATCATTTTAAAAATTCTCCAAGCTTTTACTTCTATATCTTTGTACTTTCTTCCTCTTCCTGAAATGCTCTTATTTCCCCGTGTGCCTGATGGATTCTAAGTATAACCTCATTTCTGAAGCTTTTTCTCTTGTTGCAAGGCTGAGTTGTCTGTTCAGTGTTTCCTAGTACTTTGTATATACTTCCACGTAATCCTAATGACTTTTAAAATTTTATTTACCTGTGCGTCATACAGCAGAATGGGAGAGGTTTACAGCAGATAAAGTGTATAGCTTATCCAGCACAGCAGGTGTTAGGTAGATTGGTAGGTAGATAGAAAATATGTTCTGGAGAGGATTAGTAGTGAATGCTCTCACTACTTGTTGCCTTGTGTTTTGCAGCTATGCATGCCCAAAGGGCTAGCATTCAAGACCCAGGCTGATCCTAGGGAGCCTCAGTTCCATGCCTTCATTATTACAAGGGAGGATGGCTCTCGGACATTTGGGTTTGCCCTCACATTTTATGAAGAGGTGACTAGCAAGCAGATCTGCAGTGCAATGCAGACCCTCTACCACATGCACAATGCTGAATATGATGTCCTTCATGCCCCCCTTACTGATGGCCGGGACCAGAGTGGCATGGAAGATGGTGAAGGCACTCCTGGGACCAAGCTGCAGCGCTTCAACTCTTATGACATCAGCCGGGACACTCTCTACGTCTCTAAGTGCATCTGCCTCATCACACCCATGTCCTTCATGAAGGCTTGCCGGAGTGTGCTGGAGCAGCTCCATCAGGCTGTCACTTCACCTCAGCCCCCGCCTCTACCCCTTGAGAGCTACATATACAATGTGCTTTATGAGGTGCCACTTCCACCTCCTGGTCGGTCCTTGAAGTTTTCTGGGGTCTATGGGCCGATAATCTGCCAGAGACCAAGTACCAATGAGCTTCCTCTATTCGACTTTCCTGTCAGAGAGGTCTTTGAACTGCTTGGCGTGGAGAATGTGTTTCAACTTTTCACTTGTGCCCTTTTGGAGTTTCAAATCTTGCTCTATTCACAGCGTAAGTTGGTGCTAACTAGAGCTCTCTGCCTGAAAAGACTTCCTTGCTTTCCATATTCACATACAATGGGACTGACTCTGAAGGTCAAAGGCTGTTGTAATTTGAGCAAAATCCAGAACGTTTGCAGGTAGTAGGGGATTGGCAAGTTATGAAACATGAGAGGCCTACCATTTCTTTTTTTTTTTTTTTTGAGACAGGGTCTCACTATGTAGTTGAGACTGACCTGGAACTCACTATGTAGCCCAGGCTGGTCTCGAACTCACAGCAATCCTCCTGCCTCAGCCTCCTGAGTGCTGGGATTAAAGGCGTGTGCCACCATGCCCGGCAGAGAGGCCTCACATTTCTGACTGGCTCTTATCATGGCCTTCTACTAGGCACTCCAGTTTGGGAGGGGAACCCTGCTTCTTCTCATTCCTTGTAATTGAAGCTGTAGAGAGGGGCAGAGGTGATGGTCACCAGAAGTAATGTTCCAACAGTTCACTTCTGTTATTCTGCACAGTTATTTCTGCTTTTTCCTCAGTCTGACAGTAAAATAAAAGATTCACAAAAGTTGACCTTTTTATATCCAAGAAAATATGTTTGACAGTTACTTCTTTTTGTTGTTGTTCAACTGAATAAGTTGAATGTGAGCAGCAGTTTTGGACGAAATAGTAAGTAGATAAGAGGGAGACGATGCTTACTGAATGAGCTAGACAAGTGACATAAAATTCACTCATTTAGTGCATATTATTGAAAGGATTCTGTAAGCCAGGCATTGTTTCAAGGGCAGGAAACACAAGCATGGACAAAATGCAGAGAAATTCTTTCTGTTCTAAAACGTATGTACTATTGGGAAAAGAGAGATGATTAAATAAATAAATAAAATATACAGTATGGAAGGTAGTTAATAAGGTCTGTGAAAAAACAGGGAAAAGATAATATTTTGGGAAAATAAATGTGTGTGAACATAATTGAATCATTGAGAGTTACTGCAGACACCGTGACCCTTGACTCCAAAATGATCAAGCCTTTATTTCCTAAGAACCAAGGGCATTCTAGGTTTTTTGTTTTTTGGTTTTTTTGAGACAAGGTCTCACTATGTAGTTGAGACTGAACTGGAACTCACTATGCAGCCCAGGCTGGTCTCGAACTCACAGTGATCCTCCTGGCTCAGCCTCTAGAGTGCTGGGATTACAGGCGTGCGCCACCACGCCCAGCCAAGGGCATTCTTTTATGTACTTACATGATATCAAAATTAGGAAGATTAACATTGTCCAATAATATGTTGCTATCGTTAATGTTTTTTGGTTTTTTTGAGACAAGGTCTCACTATGTAGTTGAGACAGAACTGGAACTCAGTATGTAGCCCAGGTTGGTCTCAAACTCACAGTGATCCTCCTGGCTCAGCCTCTAGAGTGCTGGGATTACAGGCATGCGCCACCACGCCCAGCCAAGGGCATTCTTTCATGTACTTACATGATATCAAAATTAGGAAGATTAACATTGTCCAATAATATGTTGCTATCGTTATTTTATTCTTGACCCAGGATCTAGTTTAGTAACCTGCATCTTGTTTAGTTGTCAGTTTTTCAGCCTTTATTTTTTATTCATGACATTGACATTTTTTTCCCCAAAACTGATACATAGATTTGATGCAATACCAATCAAAATACTGACAATATTCTTCATATCTAGAGGGAAAAAAGCAATCCTAAAATTTTATATGGACCTAGAAGACACCCAGAATAGCAAAGCAGGAGGCATTAAAAAATTCAAGTTATATTACAAAACTCACTGATAAAAACAGGATGGAATAAAATAGACTTATGGATAAATTGAACAGAATAGAGAATGCAGAAACAACTCCAGACACATTTAGTCATCTGATCTTTATCAAAGGAGCCAAAAACATGCCGTCTTACTTTTCTCATGACATTGACATTTTTGAATAGTTCTGGCAAGTTACCTTGTAGAATTTCTCTCAACTTGGGTTTGTCTGGTATTTCGTTAAGATTGGATTAAGGTTGTAGATTTTTGGCAGGAATTCCCCACAAGTGATGTTATAGTGTTCTCAGTATGTTATATCAGGAGGCACATATTGTTGATACCTATTACAGAAAGCACACATTGTCATTTCCCCCCTTTTTTGGCAATGCTAATTTGATCACACGCTTTAGTTAGGATTGTGTCTGCCAGGTTTCTTAACTGGAAAGTTATAATTTTCCCCTGTAATTAAAAAGTAACTTGTGGGGCTGCTGGGGATTTAGCTCAGTGGTTCGGTGGCCTGCCTTGCAAGCGCAAGGACCCGAGTTCAATCCCCGGTACCCCCCCCCAAAAAAAAGTTACTTGTGGGAAGATACTCTGCATCCAGTTCCTCTTGCAAGGTTTTCCTAATAGTTTTAACATCTACTAATAATTCTGGTCTGAATCAATAATTTTGATGATGGTTGAAAATGTTTTTTATAACTCTGTACTAACAAATGGGCATTCTACCATAAGGAAGAACATTTTTATTCTCCCTGTTTGTTTAACGTTCTCTGGAATCATAGATTTCTGTATTGTTTAATAGGTTATAATTCATTACTGTACTATTTATCTTGATGGTCACATTATCCCAGCTTTGGTCCATGGGCAGAAGAGTGACATTAATACGGAGCTAAGGCTTTTGCCTTTTGCTTACTGATGTATTCTAAGCATAGAACAGTGATTAAATGTTTATTAAGTTGAGAACTGACACTTGTAACAGGACATTCTAGCCATTGTCTTAGGACTGTATCCCCAAGGGGGAATGGAGGAAAGGAAATAATCTAGTTAGGAGGCCATTGTGATAAGCCAGGTGAAAGATGATGCTGGCCAGGACTAAGGAGGTAACCGCGAAGTGGTATGAAATGATTGGGGTTTTGATATAATTTGGAAATGAAGTGATAAAGACTATGTTGAATTGATTGTGTGCCCTGTCTACAGTGGACAGACACTTATTTAATTCCAGTTAATTCTTAGTGGGGGTGCTAGTCTATTGTTAACTCAGTTTTCCAGTGTGTTTGTTTTTGTGAGGACCTAGACTTTTTTACATGAAGTCTGAGATTTAAAAATGTTGGTAGCAGTGTTCTTGCTAAACACTGTAAGCCAAACAGAGAGCATCTATTAGGTGAATGTGGTTCCTGAAATTTCACTTTGCAACTTCTGGTTTAAAAGACCTCATTCTAGTGCTCACTTCAGCAGCACAGATACTAAAAGACCTCATTGTAGCTGGGCCTGGTGGCACACGCCTGTAATCCCAGCACTTGGGAGGCTGAGGCAAGACGATTGCCCTGAGTTTAAGACCAGCCTGGGCTACATAGTGAGTTCAAGGCCAGCCTGGACTACAGACTAAGACCCCGTGTCACAAGAAAATAGCAAAGCAAAGAAAAACTATAACCCTCATTGTGTTCACTAGCCCAGAAGCTCTTTGAACCCTTTCACTTAAGGATTTTTCATGGAGGTTTCAGTACTATTATAGGCCTGCTGATGAAATCTTTGCTCATTGGTGGTTAACTCAGTCTCTGACCCCTCCCCTTTTCTAGGGTTCTCTTTGTGACTGAAAGCTCTAACCCTGTAAGCTGGTGACCAACACCTGTCCTAAAGCTGTCCAGGGACACCAGGCACAAGTCATTCATCAGCATACAAAAGATTCCAGGGTTTTTAGGAGCTGTGTGGCAGGCACTGAGGTTGAAGAACAAAGTTGTATCTTTATCAAATGAATAAAAAGTTACTTACAGGGTTGGGGATTTTAGCTCAGTGGTTCCGGCACCTGCCTTGAAAGCTCAAGGACCTGAGTTCAATCCTTGGTACTGAAACAAACATACGAAAAAGTTACTTACAGGTTATGCTCTTTGATAAAACAAAAACAAGGTGGTAGGTAGCTCTCAGAGCTCTATGGCCATGCAGAAGAAGTGTCTGAGTGGCTTCCCCACTGAGGCAAAATGCAGACACTCTTCCTTTTCCTGTTGTTCTGGTCCCTCTTCCCCCTTTCTACTTAAAAAAATCTACTTAACATTCTGAGGTAGTATCTGGAGCAGGTACTATTGATTATTTCTATCATACTTCTGAATTAAACTTTACTACTAGTTGGACCTGTGTGTGTGGTCCACCATACTCTGAGTTGTCTCTTTGATACACACGAAGGAGTCCACTGAACATTATCTTGGCTCAGATTTATTCTGATTCTTTTGAAATGTGAAAATGCATTGAAAGCTTTAACTTAGTATTTAAGAAATAAGTGTCTCATTTTTGACTTGGTCTGTTTTGTTTTTTTTTTTTAACCTAGATTACCAGAGACTGATGACTGTGGCGGAGACGATTACAGCTCTCATGTTTCCTTTCCAGTGGCAGCATGTCTATGTCCCTATTCTCCCGGCTTCTCTCCTGCATTTCTTAGATGCGCCTGTTCCCTACCTGATGGGCTTGCACTCCAATGGACTGGATGACCGGTCAAAGCTGGAGCTGCCTCAAGAGGTGAGAGCCGGAGGGCTGGTGACTTTGACCTTAATCCAGGATTGGGGAGACAGGAATTTAGGAATGAGCCCAGAATGGTGTCACCAAGTTTATTTTATTTTGGAGTACATGAAAAAACAGAATCAGCATTTAGTTTAGTTTATATCATTCTAGAGACACCATCTTCATCAGCTGTATACATTATAGTCTTTTTTTCATGAGTTTCCTTTTTCATTCACATTTTTCAAGCATGGTACTTTATTTGCATTTGAAGAGATTTATTAGAAAATATTTTATTTAAAAATTTTACCTAGCTGGGCGTGGTAGCGCATGTATGTAATCCCAGCACTCGGGAGGCTGAGGTAGGAGGATTGATGTGAGTTCAAGACCAGCCTTGGCTACATAGTGAGTTCCATGTCAGTCTCAACTACATAGTGACTCTGTCTCAAAAAACAACAGCAACAACAAAAAATTTACCTGAAAGAATAGCATAATGAATTTCTGTTCTCAACAGCCAACTTCAGTTGTTATCATGTGTTAACTTGTATTTTAGTCCTAACACCTTTTACTGCCGTTTTTGTAAATACTATATAATATAATTTAATAACTACCTTAGTCAGACATATTAGTGGTTTTCTTTTCTAGACCACAGTTGATCTGTAGAGCTTGACCTCATTAGTGTGATTCTTGTGGTCTTGAGCCAGGTTGTTTTTTTGATTTTTGTTTTTTTGTGGCAGTGTCTCAGTTTGTAGCCCAGACTGGCCTTGAACTCATGAACTCATAATCCTCTTGCCTCAGCCTGGAGTGCTGGGATTACAGGTGTGTGCCACTATACCTGGCTCCCGTTTTGAAAGCTTTGCTGGTCCGGGATCAAGAAGGTTTTAATGAAATTCTTCTCTCTTACTGTGGCCTGCTCTTCCTCTTGTTTCAGATACAGAAGAATTCACAAAAATATTTATTGGCTACTTCATTCTAAAATAGATTGAAAACATGGTTAGAAGTAAGATACTTTTGGCACTGAGAGTGTAACTCAATGGTAAAGCACTTTCCTAGTTTGAGCCCCAGCACCACAAAAAGGAAAAAAAAGATTGTTTTATTTTTCATTTTCTCAGACTTACCAGTAGAACTGGTTTATATTATTTTGTGGTGGATAAGAAACTAACTGGACATGGAGGGAAGTACTTTCCTAAATTTCTTAGGTATTTATTAGAAAGGGCTGGGAAGCAGTCTTTGGAGCACTTTGTTAGCATGACTCACTTCCTCCCTTCACCCTTCCCCGCAACCCCAGTGTTGGAGATTTTATGAAGGGTTTTGCCTATGCTATGCAAATGCTCTACCGCTGAGCTACACCTTTAACCTGTTCTGAAAATGTCTTGGGGGACATATTTTTGTATGTAACTGGGGAGTATGCGTAGGGAGACCTCTGTAGAAGAGCTTTCTTCCTTTTTTTTTTGGTACCTGGGATTGAACTCAGGTAATTGGGCTTGCGAGGCAGGCACCGGAACCAATGAGCTAAATCCCTGGCCCTCTAGAAGAGCTTTCTTACGGAGTTGGATCTGGGAAGCAGTTATGTCCCTGGCCGTGTCAGGGCAGCATCCCTGATGAATGTCCCTGATAATTAGACTGTATCTGTGATACTTACAGTCAAATGCCCCTCTTTGCTTTTTCCCTCCCTTTGGTTTTAGAATCATCATGTCTTTCTGTAAGCTTCCTCCATTTCCACTCCTTTTTCTCCTCTGACTCTGCAGAGTTTTGTGTTCTTCTGGGATATAACAAGATTATTTAAAGGAAAAAAAGATCTAAATGATGATGCAAACTGTTGAGTTATTGCATTTCTTTGTGTACTTGCCTGCTATATACATAAATATGCATGAAGAGTAGACAGCAAAGACTGCAGAAAAGGAGCTTTTGGCTTTAAACAGATGTATGTTTAATATTCATATCTACTTCTACTTATGATTTTGTAAGTCAGTACAAGAATTAACAAGAAACGACCAATGACATGTCCAGAGAGGCATGCTGCAGGCATAATTTGATAAATAGGCCATAAGGCAAGAAGCCAGATTTTCAGTTTTGTTTTCATCTTTGGCATCAGCTTATTATATACTTGGGACAAGTTCTGTTCCCTATCGGATCTTTCGGCATTATTCTCTGTGTGCTTATGTATTTTTATGTGTGGAAGGCTGCTGGGAGATGAGCAGTTCTTCTAATGGGACTGTTTGAGAAACTGAGTTGAAAACCCCAAACTCTCTCCATTCTGAGGTATTATTAGAATCTCTGTTTTTGGTGTGTTCCCATCGCTGCTGCAGCCTTTATACCTGAGCTTCTGGCCTCTTCCTGTGTCTGCTTGGGAGGGACATGTGACATTGGGACAGCATGTGCTTCAAAAGCAGTTCTAGAGTCTCAGAGTCCCATTTTACTCAGACTTCCTCTCTGAAGGTCACACACTTCTTTTTTTGGGGTTGGTACTAGGGATTGAACTTGCAAGGCAGGCGGCAGCACCACTGAGCTAAATCCCTGGCTTTACACTTACTCTTTTTTTTTTTTTTTTTTTTTGGTGCCAGGGGGGTTGAACTTGGGTCCTTGTGCTTGCAAGGCAGGTGGCAGAACCACTGTGCTAAATCCCTGACCCCCAAGGCCACACACTTGTAAGGGCAATTACATAGTTGGATATTTTCTACCTTGGTTATTAGCATATAACCTCTGGAATATCTGAATGTGTATAGACCCCATGGAAAAACTGGCTTTCTACAGGAAGGAAATAGCACAAAGGTACACACTATAGAATGAGTGGAGAGAAACAGTGTCTTTGAAACACAATTTTGGCTAATTCAGAAATGATACATGTTTATAATAAAGTCTAACAATAAAAATTGCCTCACGTTTTGTTAGCCAGAAATTACCAATTTTGGCCTTTTGGTGGACATATTTAAACTCTGTTAGAAGGAAGAACTAAAGGCAGAACTAGAGACATTCACCATGGCCTGTACAAGGGGGCATCATGAGAGTGGTGAGATGGGGCAAGCGTGGTTTATAGAAGGGACTTTCTCCAGAAGGAGAAACAGTGTACATCTCTTAGTCCTCTGAATTAGAATTCATCAGTTACTGGCCATCTTTGGACATCAGAAATCTGTAAAAAGCGCTTTGTCCTTTTTTACACCAACACATGAGCTCAGCTGGCCTTGAGCAAGTGAAAGCACTGAGCTGCCTTTGTGAGGCGTCCTTTGTCTTGTGCTTCTCTTTGGGGCTTCATTGTCTGAATCCAGGAAGAAGGCATTTCATACACATCCAGGGCAGTAAGCAGAGATATTAAAGGGGAGGGTGTCGCTTTTCTGTCTTAGACCGACCCTCCCTCTGATCCTCTCTCCTTTTAGATTCTTTTGATAGTTTTCCTCTAGTAATGTATGTGTTGAGTACCCTTGCAGTGAATAACATGAGGATAGACAGGTGGGAGATGTGGAGGAGTGGGGTGTAGAGTTGGTTGTGATATGCTGTTAAGAACTTGGGGTTGGGAAAAGGCACTGGGACCCCCTGTGGGAAGAGATTTGGGACACTTTTTGGGACTTGGCGATCCATGTGATCACTACCCCAGAGTAGCTAAGCCTTCCCATGACCTTTCCCAGCAAGGCAGGAGGTTAAAACGGACACTGATGGAGTCCTGTATCTCTTCCGTGTATTGCTTCTTCCCAAAGCTGTTATGTAGGAGCTGGAAAAGGAATAAGCAAAAAGTTGCATGTTTTTAGGTGATAAACATTTATTGGTCCTTTAACTAGACAGTGCTCAAAGTTGTCCAGTAAATCAACTCTGGAAAGTTCCTTCTCAGCTAAGGAAAGGGGTGGTTGGTAGATTGTGTCTGTTCGCCAAGTGCCTCCGTATGCTGGGAGGAAACAGTATGAGGTGCCGTGTGCACCTAGAAGCTGAATGGCCTCTTCGCATTGTCTTCTTACCCCTTCCTTCTTCAGCCCAGTTTTGCAAGGAATGACTGAGTATCTATTTGGAGCCTCCCATTTTACCTTAATAAATCCCATCTCTGAAATTTGCCTGAGATGCTTTGTCTCCTCAGTGTCCTCTTACCAGCGGTATCCACCAATATGGGCACAGAATATGGGGTTTATATCCAGTCTATTATAAACTGGTTCTGTTTGTACAGTTTTACTTCTTTTTGTGTCAGTGTTGTGTGCTCTCCCTTCCATTCCCCTCTTTTTCTTGGCCTTTCAGTCTTTTACTTCCAGTTTTATGGAATGATGTTTTAGGAGTAACGGATTTTTAAAGAAGAAAAAAAGACTGAATTTCCTTGCTTATTTTGCGTATAGAGACTGACTGTGTTTTTTTTTACATAGCCATTTTCCAAAAAGAATGTGTCACTTATTACTGACATTGGGTATGTTTCATTCATTGGAATATTTCTTACTTATTTTTTACGTGTTTCAAAAACCTGTGAGAAGTACAGGATTTGATAAACATTTTGGAGGTAGGAGAAATCCAAATTGTTTCTTCTTTGAGAGTCACAACTACTTTGTGATATGGAAAAATGGTCATATAGAAAATTTGAAAAACTTTTTTCACTCATAATGGTTAAAAACTGGATAAAAGGTGTTAATAGAACTTTTCTTTTGATATCGATCACAAAACAATTCTAAAACCTACTGTTTTTACCATTAAAATTTAAATTGTAAGATAGGTTTTGAATGTCTAGAATGCAATTGATAGGTTTCTCTTGAACTGTAAGATTTTTTTTGAAGTAGAGTTTTTCATTTGTATTTGTTAAAAACAAAACAAAACAAACCCCAAATCTGAATAACAACCAGAGCAAAACTGTAGTGCCTTCTGTTTATCTTTGATTCCGGTCTTGGCAGTGTTTAAAAAAAAAATCTAGATTTGTTTTATTATGTTTGGAGAATGTCAGGAATTGTAGACTTCCTTTTCTTCACTGGGTTTGACTTCTGTTAACACTTGTTACGCCTTACTCTAAATTGAGTCTCAAACTGGAGTGTGCCTTTGAGGACAGATGCTTCTGTGGAGGTTCTTTGACCTAAATAACTGAGCATTTGTATTAGGTTTTATTTTGGTATCTAATCAGACTCCTAATCATAGTCCCTAAGAACAAATGTGACTTTAATATTGGACTTCACCAATGTGCTCGAGTGTCTGCAGTTTTTTTTTCTTTAAATCATAGCCATATGGTAAATTTCCTGTTTTGTTATGATTCCTTTATTAACGGGCATGCGGTGGGTGTTTCTTGAAATGGCCAATTTTTATTAAAATATTTCTGGAAGGAAAAAAATAATATGAGGTTTATAAAATTCTTCACAGACACTAGATTTGGCTCAGAGCAATGGGAGAAGAGCCAGCCGTGCCTTGTTGAGTGAATTTTGTTTTAGGCTGCCTCTCTTGTTTCCTATTAGAAAAACTGGTTTAAAAGAGAGGAGAATCAAGGCCATAATTTATTATATTGTGTGTTTCTAGTGAGTCACGGTGCCTTGTTCTATTAGCTATGTGGACAGGGCCTATAAGCAAGTGATTTTATAACTAGATGAGTAAGTTAATTCTGTTTTTAGTATCTTTTCTTGGTGGCTTGGCTTGACAGCATTTATGATTTTAAGACTTTAAAGGAATAAGCAAAAAGTCTGTTTTTGGGTAGTAAACATTTGGCCCTTTTACTAGGCAGGGCTCAAGGTTGTAATCTATAGAGGAACTAGAAAATGAAATTTAAAGCAGTTCTTTTAGTGTTTGATTTAAAAAAAAATTTTTTTTTTTGAGACAGGGGCTCACTATGTGGTTGAGACTGACCTGGAACTCACTGTGTAGCCCACACTGATCTCAAACTGACGGTGGATCCTCCTGCCTCAGCCTCCCAAGTGCTGGGATTATAGGCATGTGCCTCCACGCCCAGCCCAGTGTTTGAATTTTTGAGATGAGAAAGCTTTCCTTTTTAGTTATTGGTTGATAGACAGTAATTTATGGACTCAGTAAGTGTTTACATGTAAGACCTGTTGAAACATGGTTTTAATAGATCAAAAAATTATGGAGTAGCTATAGTAGACTGGGCTTAACATGTTACCTTCCCACCTCTTTCAGAATATAGAACTTACTGGCCCAGGGATAAACACATCAGTCAGTGGAAGAGCATTTTGATGTACAGTAGAGGTAGCATGCTAGAGGGATGGGCTACTTAATAATAGAGCTAGAAAAGCTGCTTATCCATAGGACAAATTTTTTTCTTTTTTTGGGTACCGGGTATCAGAAAACAAACAGACAAACAAAAGATGAAAATATGTATAACATATAACCTATGAAGAGTAAGTGTCAAGAAAATAGAAATGTAAAGAACTCTTACAAGTCATAGGAAGGTGATAAGCACCCCAATAGGAAAGTAGCATAAGGTAGAAATAGGCACTGTCCCCCAAAATGCACATTTTAAAATTTCACTAGCAGTTAGGCAAGTATAAATCAGATGCACCATCCAATACCATTTCATGTTCATTTCACTGGCAAAATTTCAGAAGTGTGGTAATAGCAAGTTCTAGAAATCCCTGGATTCCGTGGAAGGAATTTAGATCAGTAGGATCTCTTTCGAGTGCTGGTAAAAATATAAATTGTTGGGCCAGGGATTTAGCTCAGTGGCACCATGCCTGCCTCTCAAGCACAAGGTCCAGAGTTCAATCCCCCATACCTAAATAAAGAAATAAATTGTTGCTACCACAGTGGAACACTGTTACTACTACAATGGAGCATGGCTAGGAATTATCTTTTTATTTTGTACCATGGATTGAAGGAGACCTTGAGCTTGTGAGGCAGGTGGCAGAACTCCTGAGCGAGCCAGGTGTAGTGGTGCACACCTGTAATCCCAATATTAGGGAGGCTGAGGCAGGAGGATCACTGCCAGTTCAAGACCAGCCTGAGCTACATAGTGAGTTCCAGGGCAGGCTGAACCACACAGTGAGACCCTGTCTCAAAAAAAAAACAACAAAAAAAACCCAAAACCCCAAGAAAACAACAACAACAACAAAAAAACTACTGAGCCAAATCCCCAAATCCCTGGTCCTAGAAATTATCTTTTAAAGTGAACATGTAGTATACCTTTTAACAGTAGTTCCATTCCTAGGATATTCCCAAAATAAAAACCTCATAGGAAATTTAAAAACATGCAAAACTTTAAAGGCATACATACATACATACGTACCTACATTATGAATTAAAAACAAAAGCTGAAGTAGCTATAGCCCTATGACTTATGTAGCATACATGAAGCCTGGGTTTGATCCCCAGCTCTGAAAAAAAAAGGAAAAAAAATGTATAGCATTTAGGATAGTGATTTTATTGGGAGTAGGAACAGGATTGGGGAAGAATACATAGGTAGATAAAAGTAGTGGTAATATTCCAGTTTTTGGATTGGGCTCAAAAAAAGCAGTCTTTAGGATTATCCCCAGAAAGTTATCAATTTACATTCCTAAGGACCGTGTATGGGGATCTTGAAATAGGGAAGAGGTCCAACTGCAAGGGGTGAGGAAGGGAAGGGGAAATAAGAATAAAGGTGTGCTATATACAGGAACCTCGTAGCCTCAACTAATGTAAACATGATATGCCATAACATTAACTAAGATTAATAATATCAACAAGAATGAAAAATGGGATGGGGAGGTGAAGAGATGGAGGGGGAAGAAGATGATTTTTAAAAAAATGAGAAACACCTGTGGTATATACATATAACCACTCCCCAAGATGATTGTAAACTGCATGAACTGCAAACATGTACTAAAAAAGAAATTAAGAAGTAACGAAACGCCCAACAATCTGTGAGATGTTTGTTTTCTAGTAACTTTGTCAGTATTAGGCATTATACATTTTAAAAATCTTTGCCAATCCAACAGGATGAAAATTTAGGTGAAAAATGTTTGTGTTCCTTCCTTAGCTCACTTGAAATTGAACACATTTTCATGTATTTGAAGGTAATTACTGCTTAGTTAGAAATCGCCAGGTCCTTCTTTGTTAATTCAGATACCCAACCCATCAGCATGGTATGAGAGTGCTTTCTCTGCATCCTCTCAGAAGCAGTCTAAAAGCCAGAAAGAAGCATTGGAATCATCAAGATCAACCACCAGATCTTACACATCACCACTGACATTCAGAAAGGGATAATTCACTTAGTATGCTCAGGATCAAATAGGAAAATAGCGACACAATCAGGACTGGAACCTGTATTTTCTAAGTCACTCATAATGTCCTTCCATCGACTGTGGTATTCATGGATTAATAAGCATTTACTATATGTAAGACTTCTCTTAGGTGCTTAGCATATATGATACTATGATACTCAAACCACTCTCTAGCATTAAGTGTTTTTACTTCTTTATCTCCAATTTACTGGTAGGGAAGTCTTTTCCTAAGGTCACATGACAAAGTGGCAAGGGAGGATTGGAACCCGGGTCTTTGCCAGGCAGACACTGTGCCACTGAACTAAATCCCTGGCCCTCCATCTCACTTTTGAGCCTCACATTTCTCACATATGCCCATTTCAAGTTTTTTTCTTACCTCTTATGTTCAGTTTCCTTTCTAAAATTTCTTCCTTGATCCTCAGGTACTCTTCATCCTGGTTTGTTTTTGTTTTTGTTTGGTTTTAGTTTTGGGGATTGAACTCAGGACCTTGTACTTGCAAGGCAGGCGTGGTGCCACTGAGCTAACTCCCTGGCCTCTTCATCCTGTTTTGATTTCCAGGCTAACCTCTGCTTTGTGGATGTTGACAACCACTTCATTGAACTGCCAGAGGACCTGCCTCAGTTCCCCAACAAATTGGAATTTGTCCAGGAAGTCTCTGAGATTCTCATGGCATTTGGCATTCCCCCTGAAGGAAACCTTCACTGCAGCGAGAGTGCCTCCAAGCTGAAGAGGCTCCGGGCTTCTGAGCTCGTCTCTGACAAGAGGAATGGAAATATTGCTGGCTCTCCTTTGCATTCCTATGAGCTTCTCAAGGAGAATGAAACTATTGCCCGGCTCCAAGCCTTGGTGAAGAGGACTGGGGTGAGCTTGGAAAAGGTGAGATGCTGTGTTTGAGACTGACAACTTGACCTCTGCTTAGGTGCTGTCCTGGTGAAGTAAGGTGTGGGGTGAGGAAGTATCAAGTTCAGGACTCAGTATACTTGTGGAAGAATGCTTTGCATTGGAGACTCTGATTCTACTTTAGCAGTTTTTTTTTTTTTTTTTTTTTTTTTTTTTTTTTTTTTTTTTTTTTTTTTTTTTTTTTTTTTTTTTTTTTTT